ATAGATACTTGACCCTGCTGTGTGTTTTATTGCATACACAAGCTATTCACTTTCTTCTGGCAAACCCGAGATAAAAGAGTGAAAGAAATCCTCAGACAATCCTTCAGCATATTTGTATTCAATGATCATAATGACATGATAACAGACCACAGGTGTCTGTGGAGATGTGACAAAACTAGATTTTGTGATGTGACAAAACTTAAACTTTTCAAAACTAGACCTCTAGTTGTGAAAAATTATCAAAAGATCAGGCCCTCAGCATCATGTTTATGTACACCTGTAATATTTTTCCTCAGATCTAGAAGCAATTAAATTATTTCAGAAATTATTTTAATAAAAGTTGATAGAATCATGCTGAAGGATGCACAGAATCAAAAGAAAATTTCTGTTGGAAGGAACCTTAGAAGGTTGTACCTTGTGTTCTTTGACTGCACTGAGGAGACTGAAGCAAGAAGCAGAATAATAAATACTCCAGAAATCTTTATGGCATCCTGGTAACACACATCATAACTGATTTTCTGTACCTAGTCATTGGCTGCCAGATGTGGATTAGACTCTTCCATGCTATTATGAAGGAATAAAAGAAGGCTTGAGTATGGAAGCAAAAGGGGAAAAAAAATCTGTTTTCTCTGAGGGATTCCACCATAACATTGTGCACACTGCAAATAAGAGGATTTGTCGCTCTGCTCACAGACCACAAAGTGCAACTGTTCCTGAAACACTTCACAAATTCTTTAATACTTTTATTTCTGGTTTAATTTTTTTTTATTAAAAAGCTGCAGATAGTATAGTTTTCTGCTCCTCCAGCCCTCATTAATGTACAGCAGGCAATTAGGAGCTCTGGTAATTGAAATGAGCTGGAGGTGGGAACCTGAGGGGAAGCACACAGCTATCCTTTTATCCTTTTTGATTTGATTTATAACAGTTACTTGCAAACACTCCTTTTTGCCAGGAGATGGTGACATAACTCCAGAAAACATGGATGTGTTGTTTCAACAGGAAAGCAGAAGTACAGATTTTAACACTGCTATGCAGATTTTTAAAATCTACCCATTTAGGATTGAGCAGCAAAATTATTTCTGTTTTGAATGTTAAATTTCTCTGGTTTGGAGAGTTTCCTTGCTTGTTCTTTGATTTCTCTATAGGAAACAGTCATGTGAGTAGTTATGCCCAGGACATAATCCAGAGTTTTGTTTCCTGGACTTGTTTGTTCTTTATCTTAGTTTACTTCAGTAAATATGAAAGTTTACTTAATATATTGAAACCTCAGATAGAGAGATAATCTAAATACTGATAACTCTTATGAACTGCTAGTGAAAGAACAGACAGTTATTTTGCATTGATAGATTAAAAAAATGTGTTTGATTGCAGGATTAATTTGAAAACACCGAGAGAAAATAAAACTGTTTTTGGAATCTTACAACCATTGCAGAACTCCCACTTCTGTAAATCTCACTAGGCTTCAAGCCAGCATTTTGCACCAGATCTGAATGGCCCACATGAATTGAACATGCTCAGTACTTTTCCTTGTGCCTTTCATTTTATTGTTCATTTTGGAATATTTCAACCTATAAATAAATCCCAAACAACATGCTTACCTGTATGTTACGAAACTTGAAAAAAAAAGAGACACATTTAGCTGATATAGGTTCTGTTAGTTCCATAACTTAGCAGAATTATAAATATTTTCCACACAACCAACATCCAAACTTTTTCAATTTTGATTTTTGATTAGTTGATTAGAACTGAGATTTTTCTAGGGTAAATTATTTTGATCATGAAAGGATCTTGCTAGATCAAAGTGCTTTGCTGAGCAGCTCTAGATTAAATAAACTTGTTAAAGCTCAAGCAAGGGAACAGCCTGAGGAGCTGGAGCACTGCAAGGGTGCATTCTTAAATGTCCAAGTGCATCACCTGAATCCCACCTGAGGTCAGGTTATTTTCAGAGTCTGGCTGCCTTCTTAGCAGGTGCCAGGGGAAAACTCTTGTAAGACAAAATCCCAGGTTGTGTAGCATATGTTTGGTGATAAGGGTAAACCACCAAACTGGGTACAGCATGGTCTGTCTCTACTATTTCTAAAATCAAAGCCCAACAAAGAACCTCCATTCCCAACCAGAACTCTAATGGCTGACTCAAATGAAATCTTATGAAATGAATCTCAAATTAAATCTTATGAAATCTCAAATGAAATCATATTCCAGTTTTATATTTCCTTCTCTCATGTGATCCATTACTAGGATCTGCTGTCCACTGTAGCCCATTAATTTCTAGTGGCACCATCTTAAAATTGTTTAGCCATCTGTACAAAATTTATTTGCACTTTATGCCATTTTCTACATCTACCATGGTTTCTTCTATCAGAACTTTTTATCAGTGACCCAAGTTGGAAATCAAATGCATTGACAGACTTGAGGTAAAAAATTCCAATGTCTTGAAGATATCTATCCACAGTCTTCTTTTAGATATAAAAATTTTTATGTCACCTTAGAAGTGATAGTTATGATTATATTCTCACAACTGAAAAGAGCCATATTTATGCATTATAAGCCAACTTTTCAACAGAAGCTTTTTAAGTAAAAAAAAGAATTGTCTATATTTTTAATTAAAAATTGCTAGAAATACTTAAAGGAAGTATTGAAGCTTATTAATACTTTTTACTGAGTTTAAAATTTGTAGGCTTGAGGCTTCTCTGTCTTGTCTGCCTGGCTTGCCTTGACCTACAACTTTGTTTTAAGTTACCAGTGGTGAGTTTGGAGCTGCACAGAGGTGGCCTTAAAGGCAACAGAGAGAAGACACGAAGAACACAGCACAAAGTAAATTCATGTGCAGCATGGACATGCACAGCAATGAAGACAGAAAGGTGCAAATGGATGTTAGTAAACATTTAGAAATGGCTCCATGTTCTGCTATCACCTGGTGAGTGATGTGATAGCCTCAATAAGGCCTGAAAATAAATGGCTTAATAAGATGACTGCCTTCATAGGGCAGAAATGGAGAGTACTACGGACGGGGAGCAAATCCCTTCAGATTTCTGATGCTGGGCTGTATCTGTACAGCTCCAGATGGAGCCTGCACAGGTTTTCCCACAGCATACTGCAAAAAGTGAAGCATCCACTGAGAGATGCTTTCCCTTGTGATCATCTGAGATGTTATATAATTTTCTTCTGAGAAAACAACCCTGTTCCTAACAGATGTTCTCAGGAGAAATTCCTTGCTGTACTGTCAGATAAAGGCAAGGCCAAGTAGGTGTCAGTGCCACACATGGCCTGCTCCAAGTCACTATCTCCTCCAGTTCAAAGTCTGCCACAAGGCTCCCAATATGCCTTACACAGATCCAGACATGAGGAAGAAGAAACCATTGCCACAACAAAGGACTCCAGATGATGGCAACTTACTACCTCCCAATCCCCAAGGGAAGCTGCCAGCCTCAGGAGCCAGAGGAGCAGGGTAAGGATGGGCATCACGCCTGGAAAGGGGTAGAAATTAAGCACATAAGTAGAAATTTTAACTTCTAAATTTTACTTCCACTGCTGAGACTTTTTTCTGTCTTCTCACTGTATTCTTTGTCTTTGCAATTAGATTTGGGTTACTAATGAGTTGCTGCCACAGTTAACAAGGAATGACCAACAAATGTCATCTGTTTAGACTTCTATAAAGCCACACACATCCTTATCTCCAAACTGGAGACACATGGATTTGTAGGGTAGACTATTCAGAGGGTATAGAATTGCCTGGATGGATGCAGCCAGAGAATTCTGGCCAACATCAAGGTGGAGACCAGTGATGAGTGGTGTCCCTGAGGGCTCTGCCTTGGGACTGGGACTGTGATATCTTTATCACAGTCATGTCAAGTGACATTTCAGTAAGTTTGCAGATGACATGAAGTTGAGTGGTACAATTAATACAAAAGAAGGAAAGGATGCCATCCAAGAGAACCTGAAGAAACTTGAGTTGACCCATGAGCACCTAATGAAGTTCAACTAGTCCAAGTGCAAGGTGCTGCCCCTGGGTTTGGCAGTCTCAGGCATGAGTCTGAAAGAAGAACTCCCAGACGGAAGCCCTGTGGAGAAGGACCTAGGGGTTCTCATGAACAAAAAGCTGGACATGATCCAGCAATGTGTGTTCACAGTCCAGAAGGCCAAACTTATCCTGGGCTACATCACAAATAGCATGGCCAGCATGTCGAGCGAGGTGATTCTTTGCCTTCACTCTGGCCTCCTGAGAACCCACCTGAACAGCAGCATTCAGCTCTGGGGTGCTCAGCACAAGGAAGATGTGGATCTGTTGGAGTGAATCCAGAGGAAGCCATAAAGATGATCAGAGGGCTGGAGCACTTCCTGTGAAGACAGGCATTGTTGAGATGTTGGCATTGTTCAGTCTGGAGAAGAGAAGGCTTTGGTACTGAAAGTGGGCTTAAAAAACAAGTAAGAGTGACTTTTTACAAGGACAGCTAGTGATAGGACAAGAAGGAACAGTTTTTAACTAAAAGGGCAGTGATTTAGTTTAGAAGTTGGGAAAAATTCTTTACTCAGAGAGTGGTGAGGCACTGGAACATGCTGTCCCAAGAATTTGTGGATGCTCCACCCCTGGAAGTGTTTAAGACCAGGTTAGATTGGGCTTCAAGAGATCTGTTCTAGTGGAAGGTGTCCCTGTTCATGGCAGGGGGTTGGAACCTGATGATCTTACAGGCCCCTTCCAACTCAAATCATTCTATGATTCTATGGTTCTATTATAATAATAATTAAACTTTAGAGATTTTGTTTACACAAGCAAAAGTTTCCTGGTTCTATATCCATCTAATGCATGCTTCTTCTTTGCCACTAAACAGGATTTTGAATTTAATACTGTCTGCATCTGAATGAATCATGGGATGACACCTCTGAAACTTGATTCAAGTGTGAGTAAGAATCTGGATTTCTCTCCTTTGTTTCAGGCATTGCAGCTCTCTCACCTCCCCAAAGCTGTAGTGGTGAAGGTCCAGCTCCTTTCCAAACCTTGCAGACTGACAGAGGCAAAAATATGTTGCTCACTGTTCTCTATGTATTATCGCAAACGTTCAAGTTTGGTGGCAAATGTTTGAATAAGATTTCTCCTTCCATGATACAGCATTTATGTTCTCTCAGTGTGAGCATACGTGATTTTGTGTGTACTGGAAATTTTCTACAATATCACAGTTCTTTTTGGGTTTGGATGAGCACTCCAAAATATCTGTAAGAGACCATATAATAAAGATTAATATTTCTACAACAGTTAAATTATTTTATTTCTGATCTCTAAGACTTTATCTTACAAGGAAACAGACAAATAATATTTTTTTCAGTGGTGCTGGGAGCTGAGATTCTACTGATAATTCTACTGGGTACACAAAAAAGCAAACTCAGTACTGGTATTGCTTTTAGGACACGGTCTTATTTTGTTCTCCTCTACTTAATTGTTACAGAAATTATCCAGAAGATAACAAACTTATGATATTTATTTCTCTCTCTCTTCTTCCCTGCTCCCTGGCCCCTTTCCTCTTAGAATATACAATCTGCTTCACAGAAATCAAACACTTTTTCTCTCAGAAATGACCTTACCGATATCTGACTGCCTGAACAAATGTTTTCAATTTCCGCTTAGCTCTAGAATGTACCTAGCCTATCTTAAACCTGAAGAAGGGCTTTGACACTCAAAAGTTTGCTTAATTTTTTCCAGCTATGGCGAGTACTCTGATGAGACATATTATTTCACATTGAAAAAATGCTTTTGCTTGGTAATAAATGTCAGCAGTGCTTTCTTGATGAATTACTTATCTCTCTATGGAAACTAACATTTCATCAAATGAGTTTATAAATTGTTCTGCTTTGGGTCATAAGCTGAAGGATTCTTACTGTTTGGTTTGTGTAAAGAAGGCACATGGTATTTACTGAGTCGTGATTCAATCCTGAGATTAGATGAGTTCATGAGTCATTCACACCTGGTATTTAGATGTGCTTATGGTAAATCTTTTCCACTCCAAATTCATTACATGCTGATTTTTATTTGGCTGCTAAGCCTATTTCTAACACTACATCACTTCTAGTAAGTTGTCCCTTGAACACACAAACACAAAAAAAATTACCTGTTATTAAAATGTCTAGAATATATTAATCTAAACTGGGGTTTCTTAATTTATAACACTTGTGTTTCTTAGTTCACTCTTGTACCTCTTTCAAGGATGAAAATCTCTAAATTTGGAATTTTTATCCATCTCAAGAACAAAAGAAAGATACTTTCAATGGACACAAACACATCTGTTGGTATAAAAGAGTAGATGCTTATCAGCTTTCAGTCCTTCACCTTGTCCATACCATCATCCCAGGACTAGGTTAATAGCAGAGGAACTGATGGTACAAGTATAGGGTAATACCACTTTTTCTTGGGGAATGGCAGAAATCTCAACTCCTGTATATGGCTTGCTAAAGCAATGCAGTCCCAAGAGCTGGGCAGAACCTGACTTGGGCACGACAGAGACAATATGAATTGTGTACTAATTACATGTAAAACACCCAAAAAAGCATGAAAGAAGAAAGGGGAGTACAATAAGGTACAAAGGAAAATCACAGCCCCTGTAGGAACAGGGGCAGAAGCAGAAGAGAGAGAGTAGGAATCCTCCAGCCCCTCTTCCCTGGGTACAGATGATGCACCTGATGATGTATCTGCTGTGTATCTGAGCAGGTCCTCTTCTGGTGGACAGAGTTTGCCTCTTTTATTTGCCATTCATCACATTTTGCTAATGCAGCTCAGCACTTATCTCTAATGTGTTGTCCTTTACTGTGTAACTAGGTTAAGTATATTCAGAATTTTAAACAGGTTTATGGGGATATGTGTGGTTGTTTGTGTTTTCTCCTCTGGCTTCCCTATGTAGTAAGGTGATTGGTACTGCAACCCAGAGTCAACAAACTTGGATGCAAGAGTTCATAGAATCATAGAATATCCTGGTTGGAAGTGACCCACTAGGACCAAGGAAGTCCAACTCCCAGCCCTGCACAGGACAGCCCTAACAACCACACTGTGTGCCTGAGAATGTTGTCCAAACTCTTCCTAGCTCTGTCAGGCTTGGTTCTGTGACCACTGTTATGGGAACTCTATTCCAGTGTCTAAACAACCTTTGGGTGAAGAACCTTATCCTAACATCCAGCTTAAATCAGCCCTGACACAACTTTGGTCCATTCCCTTAGGTCCTGTTGCTGGTCAGCAGAGAGAAGAGATCAGTGCCTGCCCCCTGCTTCTCCTCATGGGGAATTGCAGACTGTGATGAGGTCTCCCCTCAGCCTCCTCTTCTCCAGGCTGAACAAACCAGGTGACCTCAGCTTCTCCTTGTATGGCACTGATGCAGAGAAAAGTGGGATAATCCCCTCCCTTGACCATCCAGTGATGCTGTGCTTGATGCACCTCAGGACACTCCTTCCTCTCCTTTTCACTACAGGTACACAAACAGCAACACTTTCATGGATAATTAGTTTCTCTACTGACACCAGCAGGTTGCCTCTTCTTTTTGTCTCTCTGCCTTTGTACCCATATAGCTGCATGCAGTATACAGAACTTACCAAGCACTTCATGAGCCATTTATCCTTTAAAAGTGTTATTTTTCTTATAAAGAACAAGTTTCATGTTTTAATAAATTTGGAGACCTCAGTGACTTTATGTACATATTCTTTTGAGCTCTTTCTTCTTTTAACACAATAGCACTCAAAAGATTTTTTTCATTAAAAACATGTTAGGGAACTTCTAATAATATTCATTCCAGTCCAGACTTTTGAGACATCTAGAAATACAGACCTTTTCAAGTTTCTGAAGAAAATTGAACTAAAAGTTACAAGAAGTGATGCTAAGTATGGAAATGCATCGACTGGTGTCTCCACCTGGTCATTAACCAGCTCCACAGGTAAGATTTTTAGGTCTGTAACATGAAATTATATACTAAATATATATACTGAATATATATATATATATACTGAATCTAGCAAACAAAACAAGGATAAATTTAAGCAAATGAGGATACTGTAAATATCGAGCTTACATTGGAAAAACACCCATGGGATATATTATAGGATTAGTTTGTAAAGTTCCATTTTTTGCCATTTCAAACCATACCAGCTATCAATTTACAAAGATATTTATCACCTTAGAAGTTTTGAAAAAGTGTTAAATACTTTAAATATTTGAATTCCCCCCCCCCCTCCCCCCCCACAACAGAGTGAAGCAAGGACTTAATTCACACTAGTGACATTTTTCTGTTTACCAAGCCACAGTACAATCATACAGAAAATAGGGCCAGATGTCAGTGGGAAGGTTCTTATTGATTTTGGTAAAAACTGTAAAACTGGAGAATGAAATGTGGGACCAACAAAGCTATGGCAATTGATAAGTCAATTTGTCTCCTAATAGCATTATAATTGCCTATAGATCAAAGAGCTGGAGAAATAGCATAGCTTTTAACTCTGCCAAACATCTTCCAAACACCTCAGTTAAGATTTAGTTTTTTTCCCGGAAGGAAAGAACAGGAGTAATTTAGCAAATTGCAAGTTGTAAACGGCTGAGACTGTTCTAAAACATAAAGTGGGATGAGAAGGTGGCACACTGGGAAATCATATGGGGAATAAAGGATACAAGGAATTCCTGGTGTGTTTAAAAAGCTCAGTCTACCAACACAATAATATACATGACTATCTGATAGTTTTGTGTCCATACATCTCTTCCTCTAGTCTGAAATATGTTCTTAAATATTTTTTATTTAAATGACACACAGTAATTTAATGATCCATATTTCAGATATAGAAACTATATAGCCTTATTTTTTTCCTGGAAACTGTAATCAGAAGATTCTTTTCTTTTGCTTTTGTCCATACACTGCAGTGTGTGCACTAGATGGCACTCAGTGTTTAATGCTCAATTCTGTGCCCTGCCCAGAAAAGAATTTACAGGGCTTAGTGAAATGATTGCTGAGTTCATGTTACCTTGAACCAATAGAATTGCTAAAGACAGAAATAGGAATTTAATACTTTGCAATTACGTTTGTAGAAGAATGAAATATTGAAAAGGTCTTCTATACACCAGGTTATCATGCAATGAAATAGAATAAGAAAAAATTAAAATCTCCAAAGATTATATTGCATTTCAGAATTCTCACCAAAATTCAGGAAACGAAGTGCTAATTAGAGACTCTACCAGATGGGAAAAATGTAAAAACAATGGAACTATGAAGTAAATATTTTCATGGACTGTTTCACTTATAACAGTTTAGCTGGAAAAGGAAGGCTTGAACTCCAAAGCAGACTTCAGTGCAGAAGTCTATAGACTATTGTGTTCTTTGATATGAATATTATTTCTGTTCTGGGAAAATACCATTAACTTTATATATCACGGTTTTCTCAAGCACAGAGTCACAACAGAGATTTAATTTTTTTTAATCTTTAGGGTTTTTAAGATAGCTAAAAATAATAGGAAGTTTTAACATTTATTAATTTCACTATAAAATTCTACCTTAGTTTTATTATAATCTAACCAATCAGGACATAATTTACAACAAAGCAAGAATACAGAGAGTTAACAGGAGCATTTCTTGTGTTCCTTTTTCCTTTTGCTTGGATTATGTATTTCTCCTTTCATACATTATTATGTTTCTTGTAAGTAAGCCTGGGGATACAGTCAAGTCCAGTTCCTATTATCTCCCAGACTGTGATAGTAACACAAGGAGGAAATCTCTATGATGTTTCTCAAGAATAATGAAAAGTCACATAAGAGCAGCAAAATTATCCATCTAAAATACCAAGCAGCTGTGGCACTGGCAGGGTTTTAGAAGCTGGTATCACATCAGAGCAGTGTTCTTGGCTCTCCTGCCTGTCCTTCAGACAACCACAGCACCTCTGGCACTCGGAGATTTGAGTGCTCTCTTCAGCCACCATCAATCACCAGAGCCACCACATTCCCTGTGCCTGCTAAGGCTCCAATCAGCCAGGTTAGAGGTAACTTTAATAACTAAGAACAGACACAATGAAGTCTGAACCTTTTCACAGTAAACTGAAATGGGATCTAAGACACCACCTAGACTGGAGTGCACAGGTGTAAGGAGTCTGTGAAACGCTGAAGAAACGGCAAAACTACAATCCAAGATATTAATTCCTTTTTAAAAGTCTCTTCTATTGGATCATGGTTCGCACCATTTTGATTACTTGCTGGAATGATGAATGCTTCTCATCAGTCTTTCATTAAATATTTCTGAAAATCTGATCTGGTGCCTCTTTGGATCTAAGTATTTTTGAAAATATCACTTTTGTCACACAGTGAGGATTGTATTGGGAACATTCATCTGACATCTCACAAGGTAGCTATCGCAAGTTTGCTGTCACAGGTTTTGCTAGATTTTGTTATTGTTGTTGATGACTCTTTCTTTTAGTAATAGTCCATATAAATAGCAAAGAAAACATTTAGCTTTCTATTATGAAGAAAGCTTTTCTCGATAGGACATGCCCTTAATCTAAGCTGAATATCCCACAGCAAATCAATTTTTTACAAGGAAGTCTCCAGTTTTTCACTGTTGAGGAGTAATTTTAAGTGCAGGACTCTGTCTCTATATGTAAAGTGTTTCCAAACAGAACTACTGATATCAGTTCTACCCTTTCTGTATTTTATTACTTCTGTCCTCTTAAAACAATTTTATTTACTCTCTTTCATGGACTGAGAGCTCTTTACTCCAGTATTATTTTGTGATTCCCTTCTGTATGCAATAGGAAAGATTAATTTTCACTTTTGCATGGTGTCATCTTATTCTATCTGTACATATGATGTGAGATCTCAGTGTATTTTCTATTCATTTTCTATGCAGTGGAAACATAATCTTTACATTACTTTTGTTCCTTGTCAACAAACAAACTACTTATGTTCCAATGAATGAAATTAGGTTTTTGCCATGAAGCTTTCAAAACTTCAGAAGAGTAATTTGCACTGAATACTATACTAACTCTCTAGTTTTCATTCTGCAAACAGTAAAATTTAACTCAAGAGACTGTAAATTTGATTTAGACTGCTAGTACTTGCTAATAGAAAAGAACAGAGATTTCAAACAACGTTCATTGTAAAAAAAAAAAAAAAAGAATACCTTCTGCTACATTGCAATCCATAAGAGCCACCCTATTAGTTACTCTAGATTATGTCCTGGCTTTTAGTGCTCACTTGCAGTTATAATGGGCACTTGTGTTCTAAAAGAATGTCATTAATGTTTTGCCCAGAGTACATGTGGAGTTAATCAACAGGCCATTTAGGGGACCACAAATTGCAAGTCCTGTAGATACAGCCACCTCAGAGTGTGATAAATGAAGGAAAATGCTAGAGGAATAGTACTTCAGAAGCAATCAATATAGGAGAAAAATTTCTCATTCTGCAGTAAGATCATGGCTTCTCCTTACCTTAGTTTATGTCATACCTAGATAGATACATAATCAGAGATGACAATCTTTTCATTTTTAAACTGCTCCTCTGTTCAGTTACATAAAATGTTATTTTTAATCTGAATTTGTATTATTCCTCGTCTTTCCTCTGAATAATCTGCAAATCTGAAATGAAAACTATCAGGCTGCCTTTCTAAGCTACCTGCTTCATGAAAATCTAGTTTTCTGTTACCCCATATATCTCACATGAAGGCACCAGAGGGAAAGAAGTGTCTGTGAAAAATCTGTAGAGGGCATTCAAATTCATCCAGTTCAGACATTCTACTCAATGGATGGATTAGAGTAGTGGTTAAATGTCTAGCTCCTAGATCAACAGGGCAAGGCAGACACTGTGATCAGCCTGGAGTCTGGTCTAAATTTTCTTGCTGAAGGAACATGGCATTACGGTGGTGGTTCTTGATGGCACTTTAACAGAGTAGGGTTATGGAGCCACACGTAGAGCAGCCAAATTGAATCCTGGGGTTAACACTGATGTTGGCATGTCTGGCTGAGTTGGTGAAATGTTTGATCCCTGCTCCCAGGATCTGCATCGACTTTTTTAACCTGATGAAGGTATGAAACCCCATTCCAGGGAGGCAGGTTCAAAGCATCTTGCCTCCTCTAAGAGCAGACTTGTGGCATTAAATCACAAGTGCTTGAGTTGGACTCTCAGTCACCAATTCTCCAACTTGTCTTGTATTTCCCTCATGTCTGCATACAGAATGGCTCCATTTCACAGTTCTGAACAGCATTCTGCCCACAGACAAATA